AAGACTAGGTTGATGGCAATGGAACAAAATGGAAACAATGAGAATGCCGATGCTACGTGAAGAATGTAGCCAATATCACTGAGCAATACGTACAGAAATTGTTGAATGGAAACCTGCTTTGCTGTGTACACCACCACCAAAATATAATAAAATATTATTTTTAAAAAAATACGTATAACCTCTCCTTTGTAAAACCAGTCCTAGTCTCCATTTTTAATTTATCCCTGTGATTATTTTATTAATATCAGTCTCCTCAACTCCATAAAGCGATCTCCATTATGGTGGAGATTATGACTGGTTTTGATCACTAGTATATTCTTTTAAACTAACATCAATATCCAGCACTAATAAGCATTCAATAAATCTTTATTGAAACAATGAAGAAATCACTGAGGGAAGAATATTCTGCAAGTTTCCTCCACAGAAAAAGTCCTAACATTAGATTTTCTCCTTTCTTGCAGCTGTCTCCTATATATAATCTGATTCCAGTGCAAATAAAAGATGCACACCGAAAGAAACAAAATTTAGAACAAGCCATTGAAGACTATATCAATGAATTCAATGTAAGAAAATGCCACCCATGCCAAAATGGAGGTACTGTGGTACTGCTGAATGGGCAATGTTTGTGTACTTGCCCAAAGAAATTTGAAGGAACTGCCTGTGAAATCATTAAAGGGCAAATTCTTTAAGGTAAGAAAAATGTATTTGATATTTTCAAGGGAAAAAAAAAAAACCCTACACTTTGGTTTCTTTAATTTGAAAACCAGTTCTTGAATTAATTTTATTAAACTTCTAAATTACCCATGTAAACAGAATGAAGAGTAAATAGTGAAAATAGACAAACCAGCCTTTATGTGTTGTTTAGCATACAGTCTTAACATCCTCTATCTTTACATATTTCAATAGAACTATAAACAAATAATAAATTGCAATGATTGTATTACTTTCAAATTATGAAAATGTTCATATCAAAAGTGAAAGAAATATAACAACCATCCAGGTGCTCAGCATCCAGAATTAACGGATACTGTTGCTACATGATCAAGTGCATCCTGACTTGTGTTACCCTAAGGATGGGGTAGAACTGCCCCATAGTGTTTCCTAGACTGTAATCCTTACACAGAGAGATAGGTTTTTCTCTTGCAGATAGTTGGTGGGTTTCAACTGCTGACCTTTGTGTTAGCAACTGAGTGCTTAACCATTGCACCCCTGGGGCTTCTTTAACAAATGTTAAATGCATACATATTCTGTTGTTGTTAGTTGACATTGAGTGGGTTCCATCTCATGGCATCCTTATGTATAACAGAACAAAATAGTGCCTGGTCCTATGACAATCTTAGGAGCTCTGGTGGTGTGCTGACTAAGGCATTTGACTGCTAACCAGAAGGCTGGTGGTTCAAACCCACCAGCCACTCCTCTGAAGGAAGACTGGGCAATCTACTTCCATAGAGCTACCATCTTGGAAACCCAAGGAGGGGTCACTATGAGTCATAGACTTGACAGTAGTGAGTTTGTTTTTTTTGGTTCACTTTCTTCGCCTAGAATGCTTTCCAACTTTCTCCTCTGTCAATCAACCCAATCTTTGTCTCCTTCATTCACCCATGTGTCTCTACACCTCCTATACTAGTGGTTGTCAACCCTGATTGCCCTTTAGATTTACCTCCTTAGCTTTTAAAACAAACAAACAAACAAAAAAGGATGTCCATTATAAGTCAATTAAATGAGAATCTCTCTGGAGGGATCTGGGCATTACTTTTTTAATCCTCTGGTTATTCTAATGTAGTGAGAGTTAAATACCTCTATTCAGGACCCAGGCCAATTATCGTCTTTTCAGTGAAATGTCTATTTTTTCTGTCTATGCTCTTTAGGGCTCTGTCCCTCTCTCTTCCAGCTCTAACCACATTGACTCTCCCTATACAAGATGCCTAGCTCCATCTAGTTTGGAAATGTATCTTCTATTTTAAACATCATTCTATTCCTAACACCTTGCACAGTATCTAGCACATCAGTAGATAAATTGATGATTGGATAGACTCAAATTTAAGTCTTATTAATTATTAAGATTTGATAATCCTTTGCTCTCTCTAGGATTGCCAGAAAAGGAAAATAGAGCTGTCACCTTCCCTGAGGTCTCCATGGATAAAAAGGAAAAAAAAACACAATTTTCCAAATTGAGATCCTATCTCTGGATATTATCCTTCTGCCCAGTGAGAAGCAATATGCTTCATGAAGATCCTACCAATCTCCCAAGTCTTCTATCTTCTAGGATTACTACCCTTTTTTCTTCCTTATATGCCTATGTTTCCATTTTTCATTCCCTGATAAGCAGTCAGCAGTGAAATATGCTAGGACCACTTCCTCCTGCAGACAATGCCAATTTCTTACTAATATAAGAAAACCAAATAAAAAAGAGAATGTAGGTTAATAAGGCTGTAAAGTAATTGCCGAACTCTTTTCTATAATTAATATATCTCACCAGCTCCATCACCACAAGTTTGTACCATGTAATTTAGGTCTGATTTCCATAGTCGTATCTTGTTTGATCACCCATTTAAACTACATGCATTCAAAAGCTAACCCCTCCCTGAACACCTACCACAGACACTGCACTCTGCTTGACTTACAGTTGTTAGCTCCCCGATTTAACTCAGTGTGGGTCCAAGGGAAAATTCTATGTGTTATGCCCATCAAGGGATGAGTGGATAACCAAATTATGGTATATCCACACAATGGAATACTATGGCACATTAAAGAACAATGAGGGATACACGAATCATCTCACAATGTAGATGAACCTGGAGGACATTATGCTGAGTGAAATAAGTCAATTGCAGAAAGACAAGTACTGTGTGAGCCCATTACTGTAAAAAGACAGAGAAGGGTTTGCTTGGGGAAGGGAACTCACCTAGTAGATTACTGGGATGGGGAGGGGAGGGGAGGGATTAATTTCGGGCTAGTTGGGGCCGACATGTTGACATGAGCAGGGGGATATACAGGAAGGATATATGACCACCATGATAACATTAGGAAATGGGAGGACACCGAATTGTGCACATAAGAAATAGACGACAGATGCTAATACCAACAAATGTGTCCACAATACTGCATTGCAAAAAAAAAAAAAAAAAAAAAGTATATGTGTTGTATTGTAACCAAAACTATTAGATTAGAAAATGTGGAATTGCCTCTATTCGATCATATTTTACTGTTAAAAAGCCAGCAATATTATATGGCTCAATGTAATATTAGCCTTATGAGTAAAAGCTGATAAAGGGAGCTGGCTGCACAATTTTATCCATCAGATGTTATAGGCACCATACTTAGGGTTGATAAGCTTCAGAGTTTAGGTTCTGAAAACTTGTTTTTTATTAGTTTTTTTTTAAAAAAAAAAGTGAAAAATACAATATCAAAGTTAACAGATGTTTAATTAAATGCCAAGAAAATGTATTATGTCAACTTCATTAATCAATAGTCTTATTATTAGTAGTAAGGATTTAGTTGAGTTTATAAAAACATTTTAAGTTGGTTTTTGCCATTTTGAAGTTCTCAAGAGTGCATAGGATCACAAGTGATCATGAAATAAACAAATGCAAATAATTTCAAAAGCAGAATTTTACAAATAATTTTCAAGTTCTCTTAACAGAAAAAAAAAAAAGTTATTGGATAATTGGATATAGGATGTATTGTAATAAGTTAGGTATGATGTGGAAATGGTGCTCTGAAAATAAAAGTGCCCAGGCCCTTTCTGAGCTTAAAATAATCCTGGGGACTTGAGATAAATTCTGTCCCCTGTACCGAGGAATACCGCATGAATCAGAAAGAATTAGGATTTGTTAAATGTATGCAAATGCTGAACACTGATTCTACACAATCCACTGCTGGGAGTTTTTGATATAGAACATTTGGTCCACTACTATAATAACTACTAAGAATTCCACCCACCCTCATGAATTACAATGTTAAACCTTAACTCCTAAGATAAGCTTAATGACTTATCAGAGTCCTTTCTACTGGAAATAGAGGCACAGTGTAGGTTCACGCTGAAGGCAAGATCTTCCAACTTCCTACCAGAGGCAGTGAATCTGGAAGGTCCTTTCCAGCAGGGTGCACCATTGAGACACCAGACACTGCCTAACAGGAATCAACACAAGGAAAGACGTCTCTAGGCCTGAACTGAGGAAGAACCACCAGAATTTTGAAGTAATGAGTATCTCTTGCCTGCTAAGTCATAATGCTCAACCCAGAATGTTGTTTGGACAAAGCCAACTCCTGAGAAAGAAAACCATAGCTTAGTCCAGGCAGTGTGAGGGCAGTGTAACTGCTTCTCCCCTCCACATGCTATCTGAGGTGATGCATAACAAATTCAAGGAAAAGTACCTAGGGAAACTGTTCTGTGAAGCTCAGGTTGTACATCGGGATCATTATGCTGACCCATATCCACTATTAAAAAGACATAGAGAAGCTACGTGGGTTGTCATAATCACCTGGGCCTGATGGGAAAAGGCAGGTTCAGAATCTTGCTAGACTTCAACCCCTTTCCCTTTTTAGACTCAAAACTCAGGTTGCTTATTCATTCCACTGATTGATTACAGGATAGTCAGTCCATATATCCTGGTTGAGTAATAAATGTTTGAGGTCTGAGTCAGCACTCTCACCCAAGTGTTATACCAGTGACTCCTAAAGGACTGTTGATTTTGTGTGCAGAGTGACTCAACCAGCCTCCCACAATTCATCCTCCCTGAATTAATCTTCCAGTAGTTATTTATGAAAAACAACCAAAATAATGGTAGATAAATCTAGGCTCAGCTTAACTTTATCTTAAAAAGTTTAAACAATTTTCATAAACATACATGTACATGAAATTCATGGGACAGTCTTTCTACCTCCTACCTCTCAACTCCCCAGCCAACTACCATGCTAAGCACAACAAACATGTTCAAGAGAAGGGAATTATATAGGTATTTAACAATAGACAAATTTCTCAAACCCCTAAGCCCCAAGATACACTCAGAGATAATAATATCTCTTTTGCAGAATTGTTATATTGACTCATTGAGGTAATATATACAAAGGTTGGTACATAATAGAAAAGCAATAAAAGCTATTACCATTAATACTATTATGCAAGGCTATTGGTTAAATCTTTCTAAATATGACTATAACATTTGTGACATTAGACAACCAAGATTAAATCTGAAAATTGAAGATAGCAGTATATGACAGAGTAGCTTGCTACTTTTCTCTAAATAATTCCCCCCTCCAAAAAAAAAAACCAAGCTCACAGCCATTGAGTCAAATCCAACTCATAGAGACCCTCCTTGGGTTTCCCAGGCTGTATCACTACAGAAGTAGATTGCCCAACCTTCCCTCCAAGGAGTGGCTCGTGGTTTTGAACCACCAGCCTTCTGGTTAGCAGTCAAATGCCTTAGGCACTATGCCACCAGAGGTCCTCTCTAAATAATTAGTGCAAATTTTTTTTTTCAACTCTGTGCTAGCTTACTAAAGTCAATAAGCCTAGGAGGGATAAGAGCAAAAGAAGATTAAGATGACATTGAAGCATTTGATAAGTTACATTCTAATATATTTGTTTTCATAGAGATATTACAGATATTCCTAATTGCCTGGTAGCATTATTAAGTAGTAGCATTAAATTTCAAAATTTACTACAGAATTGAGAATAGAAACATTT